TTATAACTACCTGAGCCCTCCAGGGTGATTTGCTAGGCTCAATTATACCCTCCTCAAGTAGTCTTTTTATCTCAGAGTCAATGAATTTTTTATTATTATAAGAAAAACGTCTGCTTCTCACTGCTATGGGTTTTCAGTTAGGTTTTCGAAAAGTGACGGGTACTGGATTTTTGCTGTCGCCAATCCACAAATTTTCAATGCGGGCATTGAACCGCCAAACGGAATTTCAACCTACGAGTGTTGCTGCAAAAAATCGTGTCCCAGTATTATTTCGCAACAAAGGTTTTTCATTACGGATAATTTAGTGGTTTTATAGGAGACGTCATTAAATAGTAAGTCTACCAAACAATAACCACTTATTTGCGCAGACAATGACGCGTTTGCCATTGTTACTCTGCTGGGGGAGGAGACAAAATACAATTTGTTGGTTTTACCAAGTTTTTCTTTGATAAAATTTCCTGAGCTCCCGGTATCGAGCAGGGCATTTGTAGACCTCCGTTAATTTTCACTTTTACAATAGTTTTTGAAAGGCAGTCGGGGGAGGCGGCTAAAGTTGCAGAAGTATTTTGACGAGTGGATTTGTATAGAGTTTTAGAAGACTTGCATACCTTTGAAAAATGACCAAGTTTTCCACATTTATGACAACGAGTATCTCTGGCAGGGCATGAGACTCGTAGGTGTTTAGATAAGCCTCAAAAATAGCAAGTGTTCTTTTTTAAAGCGGCAGTGACCGATTGTTCTTGAAGCTTCGTCGGACTATCGTCATGAGGGGGGACAGTAAGAACAGGTGGGTTTAACGCGGCGCCCACGGTGTCTGGCTGTAAATAAGAACTAGGCTGCTGTATAGCACTTTCGAAGATATAGGCTTGCTCGTAAGCTGTTCTAAGTGTAAGGGTCTTATTCTCAAGAAGACGTTGTCTTATCTGAGTATTGCTTAAGCCGTTAATGAAGGCGTCAAAATGTGTAGCTCTTGGGCCTCTAATGCCGTCATTGGGCAGAAGTTGCAATCTTTGCTCAGTGTCCGAAGGCTCTTAAGGAAATGGTCCAATGTCTCGCCTGATTCTTGTCGGCGAGTCGCAAGTAGGTGTCTAGAAAATATCTCATTTTTGGGGCTTTATGTATGTAGCGTTCAGTACATCGATTGCTTCTTCGTAGGTAACGCAATCCGAGATAATTTCGTTGACTGTGTGAGACAGGTAGTTGGTTAGGAGCGCACGCTTATTGATGGGACGTCCCGGTCTTTCTGAATGTAGAACCTCGATGAAATTTGTAAATGTCTCCCGCCAATGTTTCCAGCACTTGTCGGCTGAATCGCTTTCTGGATCTGTGGTAAGTCGCTCAGGTCGCATAAATTGTTCCATTCTTAATTGAATAATGAAAACAGGACAAGAGATTCTGTCTAGTAATCGTTTATTCAATTAAGAATACTACTACTCATCGATATTGAGTCACCCCCCCCCACGAGGGTGTCATGTGGCACAAGGCCTTTTTAACGTGGGCATTCCAGAGCCATTAGGCTCGGCCAAAAAATAGCCCATTTGAACCCGTATAATAAACGGGTTCAGGGCCGGTTTTACCTCCCCGAAGGAGACTCCGCCCTTCGGCGTAGCCTCCTTCGGGTAATACTACTACTCATCTGACTTGACAGTGGAAGTATACAGGTTTTATAGCTTGGATTATCTAAGAGGAGATAATCCATATTCACAACATATAGTATATCAAATTATTAACTTTGTATGATCAACTGTTATACCAATCACTAAAAAAATATCTGGACAATAGTATGGGAGAGCAAATCTCACAAGATTTTAGTTGTATACAAATATTTCATGGCTGGAATGAACAAATTACTTAAATTAAATAAATGAAAGTGAGTATGAGGATATGGAAAGTTGAGAAAACTATAATGGAAAAAGAAACCAAACAAAAGAGTTAATTAGAACATATGAGAAAAAAAACACGTTAAGATAGGAATACAAGTTTTGTCTCCAAATTTAAATGGCAATCCTCAAACTACCAAATTTACATGACAATCCTCAAACTACCAAGCAAGTAAAAATATTTTCCTATTCACCCAAAATATATATACAGAGGAACCTCGGTTGTCGAACATCTCACATGTCGAACTGAAGTGTAAGCGTTCTCGAAGCAAATTTGTTACTTTCACAACACAAAGAAAAAATCACTTGTAACGCGTCAGGAAAATAACTCTCTCCAACAAACGCCGTAGCCAAAAATGCCCGAATTTTCCTTCTTCGGCAGATCGCACACAAAACACGAACTTTTTTCCCGGGTACCTGATTATCTCGTTCACTACACGAACAAATCAGTTTTTGAACAGAAAATTTGATAATTGGGTTATCGAACAAAATTTCGGTTCTCAAACAACATAGGTGAACTGAGTTAATGCGAACAGAATAATTTCTGAGTCCACCGTGTGTTGTATACATTCGTATGTTGTGCCAGGCTTTTCTTTTCCAATTTTATTGTACTGTGACTTTTTTTCCACATTGATTCCTATTGGAAAAATAGTTTTGGGTTACGAACAGCCTTTAGGAATGAATTAAATTCGTAAACCAAGGTTCCACAGTATATTTTTTTTATCTATTAATGCTACTCAAAAAAAAAAAAAAAAAAATAATTTTCCCACTGATAGCAAACTTAGCAAGATCTTTAACGAAAACACCTTAAAATTGAGTTACAGCTGCACTGAAAATCTAGAAAGAATCATAAAAAGACATAAGAAAATCCTAGAAAAACACGCATGCCAAAACAGTAATAAAACTCATAAACTAAAATTAGATAAAAATAGCGAAATATTATGTGATTGTAGAAACCCTAAAAACTGCCCGTTGGAAAATAAATGCCTCACAAAATCCGTGGTATACCAATGCACTATCTCATCCATGGAGAGTCCTAACACTGATAGGATATACATAGGCTCAACAAAGAATAATTTTAAAATTAGATGGAGGCAACACAAGAGCTCCTTCAACAATATTCAAAATAGAAATCAGACATCTCTATCCCAATATTTCTGGCATCTAAAAGAAACGAATTAAACACCAAAAGTAAAATGGAAAATAGTAAATAAAACAAGAACTTGTAAAACCTGGGATGACCCATGCCTTTTATGCCTACACGAAAAACTACACATCATTAAATTTCTAAATAATGAAAAATTATTAAACCATAGGCAGGAGTTAACGGTTTTTTTGCATCAACAAACTTTCGCATTAAATAATTAGCACAAAAAAAAAAATCCCATAGCTTAATAAAAGTCTTAAAAGCTTAGCCAAATCATTAAATAGGAAAAACCCTTTCTGTAGTCATCAAAAAACAAAAAAAAACAAAACAAAAAAACCCCCCAAAAAACAAAACAAATTGAAATTCAGTGCAATCCGGTTTGTATATAAAACACCCACTTGAATAAACAAATAAATAAATAGATAATCAGATGGACAATGATAAAACACAATCCTCCCGGCACATAATGACCTGTAGGCGCGCCATAAAAATATCCCGCACTGGGAACCAACTAAAGGATGACCGCCAACATTAGCCTTGAAATAGATACCCAACCTTAGCAAAACCTCTCAGATGATGATGAATCTATAGATAAGAATTAACTCTCTGACCACTTAACGAAGAAAACTAGCCTAGCCACCCCCACAATAACGAATGTTATAACGGACCATGCCTAAAAACAGACGTAAACCAAGAGATAGCTTATTCCTAAAATTTCGCTTGAAGATGAAAAGAGACTAAACACCTAAATTCAACTTAATTTTAATAATTATTTGGATGGTTTCGGCTCTCGTTTTTGAAACATGAGAACTCTTATGTAGAGAAGGAATCATATTTTGAAACAAAAAAAAATATTATAATAAAGCTCTACTTATGTATGGAGCACCGTCTTCTTAAAAATAAAAACAAAAATACCAAGGAACTTCGGATTATGCACCCAACGTGTTCTTTTCTATTTTCTGCATACCTGTGCACTTATGAGTTCATTTAGCAGGGGCGGTGGAAGAGGATAGCAGGTGAGGCAGAATGATTGAAAGAATTAAAGATTTAAAAACAGTTTAAAAAAAAAATTCATATGTCAAAAATAAATATGATTTCAAAATTTAATATATCATTATGGATTACTTGTAATTGCATGCATGAGTCCCAGTATAAAATAGTTGTAAATAATTATTGACAGATTTTATAATTTTGATATTTTTTGCATTGTATCAAATATTAAGAATATACAGTGTAACCCTGATATAAGAGAATTGTCGGGACCGGAGAAGAAGTCTCTTATATCCGGGTTTGGTCTATTTTGTTTAGGCAAGTATGGAAACTCTTCACATAATGCTTTTTACGTACAGAAAACTAGTTTATTTAACAGTTATAGACATAAAAAACACAGACAAAAATACATTTCCAATCAGTTTTCAAAATAATTCAATCAAAAATTCTTTTTTCTTAAAAAAGTCAGTCATTTTTGATTGTACAGAAATCTCTTTGCCAACATCATGAATACTTTCATACAGTCCGTAAATCATTTTCAATGCGCCATCAGGATTACTGCTTTTTGCTTCAAAGTAGGCTGTCAGAGTTTCAAGCGCATTCAATGCAGCCAGAGAATTTGGCACTGGTTTGTCACTTTCAGAAACTTCAGAACTTACGCTTTCAGCATCATCATCTTCGTCAAAATCTTTATCATCTGATTTTATACCACGTGTGATGTCCGTGTCAGTCAGTTCTCCATAACATTGTGTACGGTCGTCGAAGCTGATAAATTCGTCAAAATCTGTTTGCCGTGGTTTTGCTGACTTACCAACAACTACAGCTTGCTTTTCACTGCCGTCCATGTTTGTGAACTGAAGCATCGTGAGTCTTTGGGAACTTTTGTCCCATTTGACTGTTCGTCGCCGGCAAATCGCAAAGATCCAGACAGCATGGCTTTGTAGAAAATTCCCGTTTCATCACAGTTCCAAACATCTTTTGGATCATATCCACGAAAAAGTTGCGGCAAAACGTTTGTCACCCATTCGTTGGCAGAACCGTGATCTGCTGACGTTGATTCGCCGTGAAATTTTTTTGAACGAAACGTTATTGGCCTGCTTCCAGCGCATGAGCCAGCCATTGCTCGGTTCAAAATCAACTTCAAGATTTACGGCCAGTTGTGATGCTTTCTGCCTGATGACGTGATCGGTGACGGTAGCTCCATGAGCACATGCTTGCGTAAACCATTGTGTAAGCGCTTCGTTAACGTCCTTGTGCACGGATTGGCGCTTTCGTTTGCGATTAGTGTTTCCGTTTATTTGCATGCAAGATCTGAGATCGTCTTCTTTCTTGAGAATTTTTGCTGCTGTTGAATAACCGATTCCGTACTTTTTGGCTGCAGCGGCCAGTTTGAGTTTCTTCACTTTGACATCGTCGATGAGCTCCAACTGTTCAGAAATGCTCAGAGTTTTTCGTTGAGACGCCGACATCACTAATCGCAAGCAAACGGTTTTCAGTGGCAAAATTAACAAACAGACAAACTTCTGACTCAACAGAACAGTGGGTAAAGTGAAAGTGCTGTCCAGTAAATGCAAAGACAAGCAAAGTCGGCAAAAAAGCGGGCGGCGCTACCCTTAAACACACAAAGCAAAATCATAAGGTAGAGGGTGTCTCCTACAGACACAGATTGGACACACCGTGTCTCTAGACTAGTCAAGATTAAGTCATTGAACTTCACTCTCTCTCTAACTGACCTCTGTTTGACCGATTTACGACATCACACTGTCACTCAAAACGAACTCTTATATCGGGGAGGACGGGACAAGAGAAAATCTCTCTTATATCCGGGGTTCTCTTATATCCGGGTCTAATTTATCCATTAACACAGGCTCTAATTTGGGACCAGAGAAAATCTCTTATATCCGGGTTTCTCTTATATCCGGGTTACACTGTAGCTAAGTCTGCAAATTAAGGAGAGAGTTATCAATGATAATGTTCTGACTTCAAATCCATGGTTATCTCCATTTAACCCTCTGTTTTGTTTTTCGTTTTATTTTTATATATACTTTTTATCACATAAAATTTGGTGAGGCACAAGCAAATTTTAGTTCCAAAAATGCAGCCCAGAGAAAAAGTTTGTGAACCACTGGTCTAAAGAAAAGACTCACATGACAATTCTAGTATAAACATAAATGTCTGCACTGACAATCACTGTGAGAGAGCCACCTCAGTCAGTAAGATCTGTCATCTGTTTTGTCCCCCTGACCATTAGAGATATGGAGCTACATTTTCCCTAGAGTGGAAAAGGAAGAAACTGACTTAAAAAACAGAGACAAAAAAAAAATGACTTAGCCTAAGGCTAATAACTCAGTAAAAGTCAGGGATTGATTTGACACTGTATTGATCTTATAAACATCTCCACCTTCTAAATCAATAAATAAATAAAAAAAGAAAAAAAAAAAACAGATTTTTTTTAATTCTGAGAAGTTTTGTGGCAACCTAACGATCAAATAATGCTATCTCCCACTTTTTTTTAATGAGCAGACCATTATATTGAAGTCGTGCCTCAAATACGATTAAAATAAGAAATTTAAAAGATATATGCATAGATAAAGAATATGAGAAATGAAAAAAAGAGACCCATTTGAAAAATTACATTATAACATCACAAAATCCTACAAAAGAAAAAAAAACCCAAAATGTCATTGAAAATAGCTACTAAACTGAATAAGTATATATATAAAAAAAAAACGCGCGCACACACACAAATTAAAAAAGTATAAGCATAATTTTAAAACCAAAAGCCTAAGACTAATAAACCTCGTTAAAAGCAAGACTGGAAAAAAAACTCCAAGTAGAAATGGGAATAAAGCAATAAAACAAAAAAATGTTAGAAAAATTGGTTTAAAAACAAAAGAAGATATTATTTAAAGGATTTCAGAATATATTTGATGATCTTTAATCTTTGTGTTAAAAAAACAAAAAAAAAACAAACTGAAAACAAAAAAAAAAAACTATGTGTCAAAAGGAGGTTCACCCCCAGCCCAACTATTATTTTAAATACCTTCACTCCTCAGCAATGTTGTTTTAAAAAGTAATGATTAGAATTGTAATAAAACCTAAACATGTGATGAAAGTAAATTTATACATTTTTTTTGTTCTTGAGATTTTGCAACAAAAATATTAATACTATTTATCTATTAGATTATTTACAAGAATAATTTTATATTTACAACGTTCTAAAAACTAATACAATTAAAACTAATGAAATATTTATCATTTACCAATTCTTAAAGAAATAAATTTTTATTAAAATATGTGAACCAGCCATAAGGAAATCCTTCTTTAGCATTTCATAAAGTTTGAATCAATTGAGAATTCACTGATGTTTTGCCAACCATTCCAATAAATATAATAATATAGATAAACAATCTAACAGCGTTTTATTTTTTGTCAATTCTCAAAACCAAGACAATGTATATATTCACTTTCATTAAACGGTCATACATCACCTACTGACATTGCGTAATTTCAGCAATCATATATAAAAAGAAAGGGCAACAGACTAGAGGATTAAAGCATTGGTTCATGAAATTGGTGACATAGTAATTGTGAGTTCAATCCCTGGACTGGGCAGGGTGTACTTGGACTTGGTGGAAACAGGGCAAGAAATTACTGAGCAGTACTAAAAATAAGAACTAGATGAGATAATCCTAGACATTAGCAATGGAATGAGAACAGTCCACCCTGTAGATTAAATAAAGGGTTCAGTTCAGAGTTACCTGTAGATTATATCACTCAGCATACACCTGATGGAGGCCAAGGGCACAACGTCTGATAAAGTCTATTTTTAGTAACATATCTGGAGTTTCAAATCAATAAAAAAGTTGGGCACAGGCATAAAAGCACCCCTAGTGTCTGGGATAGAGTTAATACAAATGCTATTTGAATATCCTATATCAACTGACAAATGCACTTATACAAATGTATCACTATGGGTGACAGACAGGCTCAGATTCTATTCATTAAATGAAGCCTGACATATAGTGTCATTCCATGGTTATGGTATCAAATATAACACTATAGCAAGGACTGTAATGTGGCTTGAGTACATATTTATAGTTTTGGCATTTCTCCGTTATTGCTTCTGATATGGTGTGAATGGTCATGAACAAACAAACGTCGTGCCTACCATTACAATACCAGGGACATACAAATCATGTGTTAATGAGTAAGAAGCCAACTAGTTGGTAACCATGGTGGTCTGAAGCAACTTGAGGACCAACACGGGGCATAGGGCCCAGAATGAGGCATAAAAACAATGTCGGCAATCTCATTTAAATACAATTAATTAATTTAACAATAATTAGAGAAAGAATGGTGATGGTTCAGCAAATGAGAAAAGGAATTCTTTTTAGAATTAAAGAGTCTGTAGAATGAATGGTATGTCAAGAAATAAAATTTGTGAGAATAAATGTTTGGGTTATTTAAATTGGAAACATTTAGGATAGCAAGTGAATATTGTATCAACAATTTTTAGGAAGTAATTTCTTTCAGATACAAGTCCTACTATTTAACCCATAGTTGGTGGGTAGGGGACATTCCTTTTCCAATGATATTTGTACACAAATCAATAACTCAGGTCTCCGATTTCCCCTTCAGAGTCGCTATCCATTACACCATCCGCATAATTCCAATTGTAAAGAAAATTTGCTCTGTTTAATGAAAATAAACATTGAGCGTTCTTTTGTGAGTCAGTTTTAACATATTGCAAATTCTATATTGTGTTAATAGGACTCGTCTGGATTATACCAACGGATTACTATATATATAGATAATATTAGTGGTAAATATACACATACATATGCAAAATATATATATATATATATATATATATATATATTTTAATAAAAAAATTCCAAGAGGATAGAATCCAGGTAGAACTCAATGTCTTCTTCTGACCTTTCCGGTTACATCTTTAATGTATTAGACATCCGACAACATTCATATTTCTCTCACTTAAACCGTCTTTGACTCACCTCTCTAAAACTTCTGTTAAGTTTTAATCCCCCACCTTCTCTCATCTGTTACCCCTCTCTTTAGCTCTAACATTCGTCCCACACTCTCATACTTACACTCTCTCTAAATTCTCTTTTTTTTTTTTATTTCCGGAGTTGTTTTTTTCTGTTTTCTTTTTTGAATTTGTAGGTCTGATGAATTGGATCGTATTTACGATTCCAATGGAATAAATTATGACCATGGAATATTAGTGTTTAAGTTTTTATTATATTTTATATATATATATATATATATATATATATATATATATATATATATATATATATATATAAATGGTGCTACTCATTTGGAAAAACCTCGGATAGCTCAACTTGCAGTAGAACAAATTGGTAGCCGAGGAAAAATGGGGAATAAAAAAAAAAAAAAGAAAAGAACCAAGAACATTAAACCAAGGCAAAAAAACAATCGTCCAGTGTTCAAGCTCCAAGTCCAATGAAAAAAAAAAAACCCAAAACGAGTAAAAAAGACAACTATGTAAATTTCTCACTAGACTAAGTAAAGCAAAACCTAAGATAATCCTAAGGAGTCAGGCAAACCTACCTAGGTTTCCCTAAATGGATCTTCAGGGTAATACCGGCTTTATATATATATATATATATATATATATATATATATATATATATATATATATAGATAACTAGACTCGTTTCGAAAAACCCTCGAATTTTTGATTTGCTAATAATCAAATCAATCTCGAGGGAAAAAAGGTTTTAAAAAAAAAGAGCTACAAACATGAACTTCTGCCGACAAAAAAAAATCGCACAGATGCAGGTCTGAAGCCCAAAGAAAAACCCCGATACGAGTAAACAACTAACTAACAAAAGCGCTCAATACAACCGTAGAGCAGACCAAGATACACCTAGTGAGCCAGACAAACCTACCTAGGTTTCACCTAAACGGATCGTCAGGGAAAGTAAGGCTTATATATAAGTGTAAATGTGGAAAAATATGAGAAAAAAAGACAAAATATGAATGATTTATATTGCATTTAAATTTGTAAAGATCAAAGTTGACTGGAAATCAAGAAGCCAGAAGAAAATTCCACTAGCAAAACGAGTAACAGGAAAAACTGTTAATATAGAACTTACAGTTACATCTAGCCATTGACTGTAAAATGATGAGACTTTGCCACCAATCTAGTACTGTCCTTAATTTCATAAAGTCTGTGTCATGGGGGAAAGTTCAACAGAATAATTATGAAACTATTTATAGCAAAGGAGTGGGGAGCTACATTACAGTGATAGGAAAGGGACTGACGCCGAGATGCCAGGTCAAGACAATCTCATCATAGATGAAGTGACTTCAGGCAACAGAAATGTAGTTCCACAGAAAGATGCTGAGAATATCATACACGAAACATGCAACGATAATTTTTAGGGAAATTGGAAACACAAAAGAGACACTTATACTT